TCTTCTTTATCCATTCATCTACTGGTGGACACTTAGGTTGCTTCCATATCTTGGCTATTGTGAATAGTGTTGTGATAAACACAGGGCGCACTCCAGTCCTTTTGTCCTTGCTGGAACATGGAAGCCCACATTGTGCCTCTAGGATCTTTTCCCTCTCAGCTAGGGGTTTTTGTCAGACCCAGGAAGCTGGTCTCCAGACTCCCTTTCCCTCCCACCCTGCCTCTTCCCCAACAGCTACTGGAGTACTTGGGCAAGGGCAAGAGCATTGTTGACGTGGGTCTGGCCCAGGCCCGGCACCCACTGAGCACCCGTAGCCACTACTTCGAGGTGGAGATCGTGGACCCAGGAGAGAAGTGCTACATCGCCTTGGGGCTGGCCCGCAAGGTGGGCACTTCTTAATCTCTAGTAGCTCAGCTCTGGGGCTGTTGGGATGCATCTGGGAAGCTCTTGGAGGAAATTGTTGGTGGGGGTGGGAGGGGCAGTAGGGCGTGGGTCTTCAGCTGAGACAGAACACAACTATATATGCTGTGAGAGTACAAACCCCACGTGACCTGAGGGAGTGTGGGTGTGGGGCGGGGACAGCCTGTAGCCCTGGTTGTGGAAGCCACCTTCTTACCTTCACTGCATCCCCTGCAACCTTAAGTGCCTGAAGGATGTGAGAGGCTGCAGGGGTGGTGAGCAGCCATCTGGGTTGTAGCCTGTTGGAGAAGATTGAAGTTTCAGATGCCATCTTTTTTGTGTGTGTGGTACCATAGATTTTCTTTTTTCTTCTTGGTTCAGGATTATCCCAAGAACAGACACCCTGGCTGGAGCAGAGGGTCTGTGGCTTATCATGCAGGTGCGTGGGGACTGCCCTGGGACACCTCAGGCTGTCGGGGATGTAGAGGCACAGGGACATCCATTTCCTGGCCCTTCACAAATGGCCTCTCCAGCATCTGGTGGGAGAGACTTTTTCCTTTGCCATCTCATCTTCCTTTCCCAAGCTGCTAGAGCTCTCCCCTCATCTGTGTTTTTCCTACCAGTCCTAAAAGCCAGGGTTGCAGAACAGGGGCACAGGATCTAGGCCCTGAGTGGACATTCCTGGCCTCTGAGTTGGCTCCCTCTGTGCCCTTCCTGCAGATTCTACAGGGTCTCTTTTTGGTTAGCTTGATTTCCTTTAGGGCTTTCTTTAGAAAGAAGTTGCCCTGAGTTCCCGGTCCCACCTCCCTCCACTCTCCGACTAGCTCCCCTGAGGGAGATAAGCTCCCCGTTAGTCCCTTGAATGTGTCTCTTTCTTTTTATTTGGTACCCTCTACCTACCCTTGTATCTACAGCTTTATTTCACCTTGCTTCTCCCTTCCTTGGGGCCAGAGAGGGAGGTGGGGAAGTGTTAAGCTTCAAGGAGGGGCCTCTCTGGGGAGTGTAGAAGGGGGTCAGCCTTTCCTTCAGGTATGTGTCCTCTCCCCTGCCTCCCACAGATGATGGGAAGATCTTCCATGGCAGTGGCGTGGGGGACCCCTTTGGCCCACGCTGTTACAAAGGGGATATTATGGGCTGTGGAATCATGTTCCCTCGAGACTACATTCTGGACAGCGAGGGTGAGTGGGGTGGGGGTGGGGCCAGCCAGGCTGGGTTGGGCAGAGGGTGAGGGAGTACCCACCGGAGCTCAGGTGTCCTGACCTCCTAGGTGACAGTGATGACAGTTGTGACACAGTGATCCTGTCCCCGACTGCCCGAGCTGTCCGGAATGTCCGGAATGTTATGTATCTGCACCAGGAAGGGGAAGAGGAAGAGGAGGAAGAGGAGGAGGAAGAAGATGGGGAAGAGATTGAGCAGGAGCATGAGGGCAAGAAGGTGGTGGTGAGTGGGGAGGCTTGGGGTTGGACCAGGCTTCTTGGGCCTGGGCAAGGCTTGGCAGTGGGGGGCAGAAGGCGCAGCTAGGGCAGGGAAAGGGGAAGGCTGGCTGGCGCTGCTGTGGGTGAGCTCGGGAGCCCAGGTTCATGAGGGCAAACTGGTTGGGAGCTGGTTTCCAGCCTTATGACGCCCTCTTGTGGTCACCTCGTGTCACCCTGAGTCTCTCCTACAGCAATTCTGGGGATTGGGAATGATTGGGGTTCAGACCTGTGTAGTTCCTGCATCCTCAGAGAAGAGGCCAGAGCCAGCCTGCTCCACTCTTCTCCCTACCTCCACCCCCAGGTTTTCTTCACTCGGAATGGCAAGATCATTGGGAAGAAGGATGCAGTTGTACCTTCTGGGGGCTTCTTCCCTACCATTGGAATGCTGAGCTGTGGAGAGAAAGTCAAAGTGGATCTGCATCCCTTGAGTGGCTAGGGGCTTCTCCCCTAGACCTGCCCCTTTTCCCTCTCCTCACCCTTGCAGAGCCAGGTACCCACTTCCTGACTTCCCTGAGGATTTGTTTACCTGGCAGGCCCTGGGGCAGGGGGGGCATAGTCACTCTGCCCCTGCCAGATCAGGTCCCTGCCAAGCTCGTCTGTGCCCACGTTTCTGACCTGGTGCAACCTCTCTTATCAGTCCCTGGGCCCGAGTTCCTGGTTGGACAGGATCAGGCCCAAAGAATGGTGTTGCTCAGTGGTGGGTCTCATTGCTTTGGCCAGTGGGCTCCTACATTCACCTTTGCCCACTGGCCCATGTGAGTGGAGAGGAGTGAGCACCCTGTCTCAGCTGCTATTTGGGCATGAGGCTTTACAGAGTGGAGGAGAGACAACCCCTCCCTGTTTACTGCAGTATTTTTCCTTGTATTTTCTTTTTGTTCTCTGTTCCATCGTGTAAACCAGTTGCTGCTGTCATCCCCCCTAGCTGGGCTAGGGAGGCTCTTTTTGCCCCCGTCTCTCCTTCCACTGACTGCTATCCCAGTAAGACTACTCTAGGGTCTCTGTTTTGTCCTCTGAGAGCCAGCTTTCTCCCCGACTACCTGTTCGGCCTCCGTAGTCCCACAGAGAATCTGAGTCTCTGGCTCCCCACAGCTATACACATAGGTGGGTGCCCATTACATGTTTGATGGAGTAAGAGAGGGGCTGTCTGGTGGGGGACTAGGGCCTTTGCTCCCATCTGCCCCTTGCCATTCTCTGTTCACCTGTGGCACCCTTGTCCCTAGTTCTCTGGGCTGCAGGCTGAGACTCCATAGCATGTCTCTCCTGCCATGGTGAGGGTAAGACCCCAGAGCCCTGGCCCAGGGAGCCCAAAAGGCAGCTTAGCCCCTTAGTACCCTTCTCTGCTCCACCCCTGCCTCTGTGCCCAGCTTGCTGCCTGTGCCAGTTGCTTCAGTGTTTGACTCTAGCATTTACGTGTATGCCCCTGCACCAAACCCTCCTATCTCATATCCCCTTGACCCCCAAACCCCTCTACATACAGTGACTTCTGGGAGGAAGAGGGAGCAGGAGCTGTTGGCCTTGGTTTGCACAGAGTGGTAGGACTTTGGGGAAAGGGGGTGAGCTGTTGTGCTGCTGGGGTCTCCCCTTTGGCCCTCCCTTCAGGCCCTGCACTATGATGTATGAAATGTATGTACAGACCACAGATGTTTATACAGCCAATAAAGATGGAGTTTCCATATTTATCAGCATGGCTGGGCCACAGTATCCTTTCCAGTATATGGGGCTAGGGACCGGGCTGGAGGTGGGGGCAGCCAAGGGCAGTTTGCTCCTAGGAACACGTGGACCAACATGAGGCCACCATGGGGATTGTTTACGTTCCATGGACCTGGCTGTGGGCCTGGGGTGCCCTCAAGAAGCACAGTTATGCCCCTGGGAGACACGAGACTTTGACCCTCCTATGAATAAGGAACGGGTCCATTCCAGCCAAATGATATAGAAATTCTTTATTATTAGACAAAAATAGACTCTTTTCCCTCCTTTTCATGTGCTCCCACTGATCTCTCTGCTCAGAGGGGGAGGTAGAAGAGGGAGTGCCTTGCTCTCCAGGTTCCCCCTCTTCCTGCCCTCCTGGGACCTGCCACTGGGTGGGGTTGGCATGGCCTCTTTACACTTCAGGGGCTGATGTCCTGCAGGTGGGGCTGGATTGATCCCCTCCAGGGCTCAACTGCTGATGCCTCCTCACCCTTCACATACCCATCTCTGCCATCTGCTCACGTGCAAGGTCACCTCATGGGCCTGTCCACTTAGCTTAGCAGGCTGGGGGTGGGGAAGGAGAGCAGTGTCCCAGGCTGATCCCCACTCCCCATTCCCAAGGAAGGGGACGGGCGTCTGGGTCTCCTTGGTTGGGCCAGGGAAAGTGAGGACTGTGGGCTGCTGAGAGGGGCGTGGTGCTGTTGTGGGCTCTGACTGCGGCCTGCCTTCATTTTCTCTGGCCCAGTAGAACTTTGGTGATGAAGGTGACGATGGCACCTGCAGGCTGATCTGGGTCAAGCTCAGCAAAGAGGTGACACACATTCTCCCAGGGGCTTCCTGGCTTCTTGGCCACAAAACCAAAGATCCTAGGGGTACAAAGACAGGATAGGGAGGGGGCTTAGCATCCCTTCCACAAGGGACTGCAAAACCAGGGTTGGGGAGGAAGGAGGCGCCTCAATCCCATGTAGGGAAGAGATTGCTCTGGAGCAGGGAAGGGGGAGGGCTCACTTGGAGGTGGTGCCATCAGGGTTGGTCCATCTGCAGAAGGAGAAGAGCTGTGAAGGAATGCACCCCAGGGACTAGCTCCTCAAGGAGGAGCTGGGGCTGGGGACTGTCTGGTTTGTGGGGCTGTGGGAGGAAAGGTCACCTCCGGTCCTGAGGGTCGATGCTGGAGAACGTGATGCTGCTCACTGGGTAATGGCGGCGAAAGAAGAGCCTGTGAGGAGGAGGGTGGGGATAGTCACACCTGGGAAGGGGGGCACCCAGGGCCTAAGCTTGGGGGCTCCCCAGGGGCTCCATGCACATACTTCCTTTGGTTGTCTGTCAGTGTGATGCCCTGGGCTGAGACCTTGAAGTGGACCACAGCTGGTGTCGGGCGGGGGCTGCAGCTCAGAGCTGCAGAGCTGGCCTTGGCCACTGCCTGGGGGCCCGTCAGTGACTCCGTCTCTACGGAGGTCAGGTAGAGCACACTGCAGGCTATGGGGGCAAGAAGTGGAGGAGAGCACGGCTCAGCCAGGCCCCAGTCTCTGTCCTTGTGATTCCCCCACCAGCTCTTGTACTTTCCCCAGCTAGTTTTGCTCAAAATGCATTCGAATGACATGAATAACCTATTAAAAAGACAGGTTCTGACTCTCCCAGATCTACTGTGGGAAATGCTGAACAGAGGCCTGAGAATCTGCATTCTCACAGGCCCTCTTCCCATGATCTCCTTTTCCACCCCCTACTGATATAAGGGCCCCCCCTGCCTTCATGAGTTCAACACATCCATCAGGGCCCACCCACCTCAAGGCCTGTCAGTGCACCCTTGGGGCCCTGGAAAAGGGAGGACGGGAGGGAAAGGCCCCTACCAGCGCCCTGACGTAGGAGGTCTGCTGCTGTGCTCATGTTGGTGGGCACTGAGGCCTCTGGGGTCTCCTCCAGAGGATCTGAGGGAAATGCAGGCCAATGGGAAGGTCAACAGGGAGTGACATTCTTGGAGAACTAATGACATCCCAAGGGAAGGCAGGCTAGGAGCCAGGACCTGGGGATTCTGCCTTTGGCTGCCGTGGGTTGGAAGAGGTGGAAAGACAGATCATAAGACACCCACCTTTGCTGGGAATGTGCAGGCAGCAGGGCAGGGACAGGGGGTTGATGGAGTGCTGGGAGACCAGGGCAGACAGACTGCCTGCAGGGGAGAGGTAAGAGAAGTCTGAGGCGCCCACAGGTGGCCCAGCTTTCCCTCCACCCTCCTAAGACCCCCTTGGCCCTCCCAAATAAACCCAGTGGAGTAGACTTCCCAGCCCCTGCTTCTCACCAAAGTAGGGCTCGCTGGGACAGCCCTTGATCTTCACCCCTTTGGGCCCAGTCTCAATAAGAAAATGGCGGACCAGCTGTTCCAAGGGGTCTCCTGAGGGGAAAGGGTGGTGGGGAGGGGAGAGGAAGGCTTCATTAGATTCCAGGTTCCCACCTTCTCTCCTGCCGGGATTCTTTCCAGGGCTGGAGAGGTCACTCCCCGCCTCTCCCCATCAAGAAGCAGCACGGCCCACCCCGCTTGTCTTGCTTCTGCTACCTCCCCCAACTCCACTCCCTTCTCTCTCAGGTTGGAGCATCCTGTACCTTTCCAGGGCTGGGCACTGGGTGGTGGTGTAGCCACCTTGAGGGCCAGCCCATAGGCTCCTTGGAATGAATGACTGTCCCTGATCAGGAAGGCCCCAGGGTCCTTGTCCTTCAGCAGGGCGATGGCTGTGAGGAGGCAGGAGAAGTTTCCCAGTGCCTGACTGAGCCCTGCCATTCTGCTACCCAAGCTCCCCAGGCCTCTCGCCCTAACAGCTGTGGTGGTGTTGGGCACTTGGGTACAGAACTTTGAAGTTAACAGGGCATTGACAGTGTTGAGCTTAAACACCCTTGGGCCCAAAACCCAGAGTAACACCACTGAGGCAAGGATGGGCTCCATAGACAAGACAGCCCTGAAGGATAGGATGGGTGGGTCAGGCTGGCTTCTCACCTTGGTCACGGGACAGGTGTGGCTTATACCAGAACTTGGACGTATCCTGGACAAACTTGACATTGCTCTGGCTTTCTTGCATAGGGGCCTCTAGGATAGGAAGAAACTGGGCTTGGCCCCAGGGCTTCCCAGTCCCCAGGCCATGGCCCTCCCTGGGAGAGGAAGGGTTCTCCCAAGGTGGCCCACCTACCTCAAGGCCTTTTTACCTGGGGGTTGCTGGGTGTTATCTGGGAGCAGAGGTGCAAAGGTGACATGGTGGCTGGTGCCTCTGGCTGGTGGTGATGCCTGCTCTGAGTCCCAGGGTCCTGACTGTTGCCCAGGCCCCAGCAGGTGGCGTTTCTCAGGGAGTGGGGGCTGGGTGGGGCCATTGATATAGGATGCAGCCAGGGGGAATGCAGGTGTGGGTGAGCTCTGAGGAGGCTCAGGGCTGGCCACAAGCCAGGGCATCTGGGTAGGCACAGGAGTGAGTGGGGAGCCATCTGGGCTGTCTGGGGGATCTCGAAGTCCCTGCCAGGTGGCATGGCGGAGGCCGGGCAGCGTGGTGGGTACGGGGCCCCGTGGACTGGCACTGTCTGAGGGGCCCCCTGGGCTTCTTGCTTGAGGCCAGTCGCTGGGTGAGCTGGGAGGGGAGGCTAAGAAGAGTCTAGGGGCTGGAGGCCCAAGCCCACTTCTTGCTGGCAGCTCAGGAGCCTTTTCATTGCCTCCCTGGGAAACAGGTGGTAAGACCTCGCCAGGACTCAGTCTCTGAGTGGGCACCGAGCTGGGGGACCTGGTGTCCTGCCGTTGGGCACTGTGGGGTGGGAGGGCAGGTGGTCAGGAAGGCCACAGAGCCCTGCTGTGAGCTGCTCCTACCCCCAGCTTTCAGTGTTTC